CGAAGAATATATATGTTCAAGTTATTTATTGTATATATAGCACATTTTTTTCCCGTTTTAGGTCAAAATTATACCATTTAAATCTGATTCAATTTTGTTATTATTAAAAAAATATATTCATCTGTCTATTTTATATTCTTAAATCAGAATATTTATTATAATTTTTATTTTTTTAATAAATTTTAGGATAGTTGTAAAATAGAAATTTCCTATTACAGATTCATTTATGTATATATGGATTTGTTTATGTATACTTATATAAATATCTATTTTCTTAAAAAATAGATATTTGTACTTATTCTGTTTTGAGTTAATTTAATTATTTTTGTATTTTTATTTATTTATTAATCTTTAAAAGGTTTTTCTAATGTAGAATTTCTTCTTCTGTGTATGTATTATTTTATTTTTAAAAAGAATCTGAGAATATTTTAGTAGTATATATAGAGAGAGATTTCTACTTGACTTGTATATATATGCATTTATGCATATCTTGTTATATAGAGGGTGCGCTTCTTACATATTTATTTTTGGTATAAATGTAAGAAAAAAGTATATATTTTTTTGTTTTTTAGGCGTAATAAACAAAACTTGTTATAATACATGTTACCGAGATATGTGTAAATATATATAATTATTAAATATCGAGTTATCTTTATTTGTGCATCATTTTATAGATATGTTAAGCTCGATTTTGGCCTTTTTTTTGAAATTGATTAAATATTTTTTTAGATGAATTGTGTATTATTTTTACTTTGATCTTTGCAGATGTTACATCTCATAGATAATAATGTGATAATAAACTTCATAAAAATGTTATTAGAAAACTTTTCACAAAAGAAGTTAATGATAATGATATTTTTTAGTCTTTGCCAAGCACTTGAAGCAATACTAAATCAAAACAAATAGATGAATTTGGTGACTACATTTTGTGTGTCTCCCAAATATCCTTTCATTGATTATTATTTTGTATTGATTCATAGTGAATATGACATGTAATTTACATAAAGACATTTAGTTCATGTTGATAAGTTATTACTGTTACCTTTATGAATACTCTTTATTTATAGCAATACTATTAGAAAGATGGATCTTCAGAATCGTTGTACAATACCATAGTGCTTAGACTCTAGTGAGCTTTCCTAAACTAGCTAAGGCATCAATATCTCTAAATTAGACATTAACTTTTATTGGAGTCTAGAAATATTCTTAGTAGAAAGGTTACTCATTTATTTGTAAATAAAAAGGGTAAAAGCACTACACGTTATTAATATGGATATTTTTAAGCTCCACTGTTTTAATCATAATATTAAAAATATGGAGTTGAGTAGGTAGAAAGTAATTTTTATTGTGGTATAGTAAACTATCATCGTTAATATTGTTAAAGCTTTTTTTTAAGGAGTGTCATGATATGAGTTAGACATGTAAAGAAAAGAATTCTTAATTTGTCCCGATATTATACATTAAGAATAAATATAAAAAGGTTTAAGCATTCTAAAAAAAAACGCAAAATTTTGAATGAATTTATTACAGAATCAATATTTTATTCGGTTAATTCTTGTGGTATTATGTCAATCCTTTATTCTTTTCAACTTCTCAAAAATAATACAAAGTATACTTAAAATTAAAAACCTCTTACACAACCCAAATGATAAGCTGTTTTTATTATTAGAATTATTTACAACGAATAGACATATTGTAGTTTTCACCTATTCAGACTTGTCCTATTGCAAAATATATGATTCAAAGGGGTATGCCTAAAATAGTGTCAACAGACATTTAATAGTGTAAACAGAGTCGATTTTGTGTAAATGACAAAAATTATTAAAGTCAAAAAAAAGCATCAAATTTTCTATTTTGCGGGGGGGGGAGGGGGGGAGAACGAATACAAATAGAATAATAATAAAAAGAAAACTTATACAGCGAAGAAACTAAAGTAAATATTTTCATATAACATGCAATTTTGAGAATAAAGTTTAAATAGAATTACAGCACCAATGATCGAAGATTAAACCCACCTCTATGTCTTTTAATTCAAAATATCTATAATTTTTATTTTCTAGTCCAGCAACAAAGATCACCGAAAAAGCAAACGCAAGACTTAACCAGAACGTAAAGGATATTTTGAAATAACAAAAAGCTACGACGGGCGGGGATTGAACCCGCGATCTCTCGCGTGTGAGGCGAATGTCCTAACCACTAGACGACCATCGCTCGCCTACAATTTGGGATCTATAGTTTAGAATACTTAACCCAGTTTGATTTTAGTTGTGCATTCAGTCCGATATAGTATAATGGTTAGAACACCTGGCTTTCACCCAGGAAATCCGGGTTCGATCCCCGGTATCGGAGTTTTTCCGAACTCTTTATTCCACTTTGTTTATAAAGCCTTTGGTTTATTTTCATCTTGCCAATTTTGTTTTACTTAAGAATTTATAATTAATAATATAAATTAAAATATTTTTTTATTTAGACTGAAAATTATAATGAATATGTAAAAAGAATTATTATACAAATGGAACTATACGCTATAAATGAAGGAACGGATTTTTAAACATATTAGACTAAGAGATAAACATTTCAGCTTCCATAAATATATAGATTATATTGTTGAGATGCAAAAAATTTCTCTGTATTTTTTTTAATTATTTTTACATTAGATAATTTTATCATATAGTACTATAATTAATAAATTAAAATCTGATTTTCTTTTTGTGATGCGTTTTTAAAGGTGGAAATCTTATCAAAGACAGGCTGGGGCATGGCATCTTTAAGCGAACATATTTTATGGAAAATTAAAGTTTTATGCACTTTATTTACTACTTTATAAGTCTATGAGAATAAAAATGTTGTAAATATAATCCAAAATGGCATGTAACTATCAAATGACAAAAAATACGAAGCTGAAAGCCGCAAAGATCAGCATACCAAATCCGGATCCATGATAAAATACTTAGAGGCCAAATCGAATAAAGTAAAAATAAAAACCAAAACACGAATACGAAAATTAAACATCTCAATCAAATGATAATTTTATGAAAAACTACTATTATTTTGAAAAACTTTAGACAAATCAATATTTCTCTCATAAAACAATTTCAAAAGAACTTTGGAAACCAGGGGGGAAAACAATCGCTTGGGGTGAAACCATTCCAATCATATATTTTTTATATCGAACAATAAATTAATTATAGATTAACATTTCCAAATAACCAGTTTGGGTTTATATAGAAAACATAAACTCGATATTATAAACTTTTAGAAATGATTTAAACTGGCAACGCTCCAAAAAAAACCTTTTAAATTCATTATTTGCATCTTAAGGAAAATAACAATATCAACAGAAGATGAATTTATAGAATATGCTTTCAAAAAGAAATTCAAAGCGTATTTTTTCCCCCCATCAGTGTGGTTATTTTAAAATCAATTTTAATTTACAAATTTTCTTTATACCATAAATTCCATCAATTAAGACCAAATTGATCAAAAAGCATCATAATATATTTGGATTGAAAGTTATTAATTTCATGGATCTGAATTGGCTTTGGGTCTTAACGATTCATCAAATTTTGTTATTATCCTTGAATTTTGGTAGAATATTTTTCAAAACGACGGACTCTATTTAAAAACTTTGAATATAATTAAATAAAACATGAGGGCCGATACGGAATATCTTTAAAGGCCAGGTGTTTACGTTAAGCGCTAAAATTTTAATTAAAAGGCAGATTAAAATATTTAATGGAAAATTTTTAGACCCATCATTAAGAATTTAAACGAATTCGTTGTTCTATACCGGTTGAACCGGAGGGTTCGTATTATTTTAGGATTTTGGCATTCTAATATTTATCCGTTTTTTCCAAAAGGGCGTTACAGAAAACAAATGCCTTCAATCATGTTTTAAGAATTCAATAAGGAATTTTTACCTTTATTGGGATTCAGTTTTCCGAAAAATCCAAGTGATGGATCCAGGTTGATCGGTCATTCTTTGATTTCCAGATCTTCGCCATTAAATTCAAAATTAAGCCTCGGTCGATTTAAGCGCATGATTGGTATTTTTGGTATCAGAGAATCATCTTCATTAATTTCAATTTCTTTCTAAAATATAAGCGGGCGTATTTCAAGAAACGGTCAAGAAAAATCGCTCTCGTTAATTTTTTCCGTTTGGGTTGCTTAATTTCGAAACGTTGTAAATGATTTTGGGCGTTATGCGGGTTTTTGGAAGAAAATTGATACACATGTGTGTGAGTGTTTGTGCGGGGGGCAAATCCACAAGAAACGAATTAAACTTTCTGCATCTTATTTTATTATTTTCTATATTTGGATTCCCCTATAAAAACTGAAGTTTGGTATCGGTGTTATTTTCATATTGTCAGAAAGGCGCCGCCAATCGTTGCTTTGGATCCCCACCCCCCCCCCAAAAAAA